CAAGGACCATCCAAATACCAGCCAAGGACCAACCTAGGACCAGGCAAGGACCAGCCAAGGACCAACCTAGGACCAGGCAAGGACCATCCAAATACCAGTCAAGGACCAAACTAGGACCAGCCAAGGACCAGCCAAGGATCAACCTAGGACCAGCTAAGGACCAGCCAAGGACCAGCCTAGGACCAACCTAGGACCAGCCAAGGACCAACCTAGGGCCAGCCAAGGACCAGCCAAGGACCAACCTAGGATCAACCTAGGACCAACCTAGGACCAGCCAAGGACCAGTCAAGGACCAGTCAAGGACCAAGGACCAATTATGATTTTGGTGAAGAAAATGTCAAATTTTTGATTTTAGGCAGAGACAAATGGCTACGTTTAGCCAAACATGGCTTTTACCTTCAAATGGAGGCTCTTATGCAATTTTTCATGTATCATAAATGTGGTCCAGATTACTGTTGGGAATACCAAGAATATAGCATCAATATCATAGCTTTAAATAACCAAAAGACACAGGTCTAACATGTATCCTGACTGCATTTAAGGATTTATGTAGTTTCCTACATGTATTTTCCATGAGCTTTGGGATTTGCATGACGATATGTAGGATTTACACCAACATTATTTTCATGACTCAAAATTGAAATTAAACCAGCAACCCACACTGGAAAAAATATCTAAAAATAAGAAAAAATTTCTTAAATTGAGTGTATTTCCCCTTGATTTAAATAGGTAAATGACAAAGTTTGCCAATGGAAGGAGTATTTTGAGTATTAGTCCATATTATCAAATAAGATAATTACATAATATGGACTGGAAATAAGACAATGCAGTTGTGTTTTCTTATTTTAAATCTAAATCTTTTTGTTCCATTGGCAAAATGTATCTTTTATCCCCTCAATTCAAGAACAAATGCACTTATTTAAAAAAAAAAAATAAAAAACCAAAATCGGAAATTTTTAAAAGGCAAAAGGTTCAAAAAAAAACCCCAACCCCCGAACAAAGAAAATTAAAAAAATCTCCCTTCTTTCCCACTTTTAACATCTGCTCCCTGTCAAATTTGGTCCTGCCGTGACACAAGAGACCACATCTGGTCTCTGAAAAAAGCAAACAAATAAAAAAGCCACAATAAGGCCTCTTTTTGTAGATTTCACTTGTTGCCTTTTGACAGAAAAAAATAGAAATGCCTGATATTTCAATTTAAACTTTGTGTTTTTTAAACACAAATCAAATATCACTTTTGGTTTTTATCAATTTCTAAATGAAAGATCAAATGACCAAAATATAGACTGACTGAAAACATAGAGCTATGTCTGCTGCAGAATTTCTAGCCTGATGCTGTGGTGCATTTCAGAGGTAAAATCTTAGCTTTAATCGGAGATATTAAGATTAACAAACACCCATAATCCAGTGTAACACTTAGTTACCATGGCTTCTGAAGTCCTGCAGCAGGACATTTAGCCATAAGAAGCAAAATCGATCTAAAATAAACCAGAATCCAGGATACTTTAGGGTCTTTTCAAATGCTTACACCAGGGTTCCATGTCAGGAGAAAACATGGTCCACTCTTAATCTCACACAACAGGGTCAAGGATAGATCTAGCTTGCAGGACACATAGTCAGATTATTTATATAGAAATGCACTCCATCAGATTCTTTTTCAACGATTTATAATGAAACAGCTTTGTGTGCAACAGATTGCTCTATTTGCACATCAGTGACATCTTACTCCTCCTCTAAAATTATTAACAGCAGCATTGTTTGGATGAGAAGTTGGAGGAATCAGAATTCCCCGTGGCTGGAGGACGGGGTCCAACAGAGATGAGATGTTTTCTCACATTCTTTGATGGTGTGTTGATATCTAGGTCTCCCTTCTCTCTCCCTCTTTCCCTCCTGCAAGTCTCCTCATCATAAAATCCCCCCGCTGATCAAAGTGCAAAGCTGGCTTCAACTTATTGGATAATTCTACCGTATCTCCTTTTCGGGTTTACTGTTCAAACTCCAGCCAGATCAGAGTGGATGGCAACGCTGCAGGAGACGACAGGTGCTAAAGCTGCATCAATCCAAATTTCAAACTTACAAAGGCACAAATAACTCTGAGATTAAAACAGGATGATGCAGTCAGCCCCATGCAGTCGTCACTGTCAGCTAAAAAGTCTTCCAGTAGCATTTAATTTTATGCACAGCCAGTTCCAATCTGCTCCAGGAGGAAGCTGCACTCACCTTCTGCTTATCTGGAACTATGAAAAACAGCAGCTCTGCACTAAGCAGCAGTAAAACAACACTAACCGCTATGAAGGGGACGGGGCTGCCAGCTGATCATAGCCTGCAGAACTTCATGGTTCAGTGGACTTTAACCTGCAGTGATAACACGTGGATGTGCAGCGGAAAGAATAAATAAGTTAGGTCTTAAATCTGGAAAGTTTGACTTTTTCATTGGTCTTTAACCCTTTTTTAGCTCAAGTATAACAAATTAATTTATGATCTATCAAACGATTTTTTTCAGAAAGAGTTCAGAATGAGTCCTGCTCATGCGTGAACAGATACACATCCAGGTCTCCATAGATAAT